TTTTTTCTGACTCACTGATCGGTTTTTCAGGTACATTAGCAGAGAGAATTTCCACTTTCTTACAACTTCAATCATATTATGGTTGGTTTCATGTGGGATTGCAGTCTTCTTCTTTCTTCAAACTAAAGGATTCTCCTTTAATCATTTGATTTGACTTACCCACATGATGTTGCAGCTCTGCTAGTCCTACAATTCTTTTTAAGTGTTTACAGTGTGAGAGATACCTTTGTTTACTTTTAGGTTAACTCGTAGGTTGTTATGCATCTCTTTAATTTCTTAGGTGTCTGTGATGTTTTTGTTTAGATTTATACAGAAATACAGAAAATGAGAAGCCATAGGTTACTGGTGTCCATGGAGGAGAGACACGTAGTTTTCTGTGATGTCTGTGTTTCATTAAACTCTCAGAACTGAAACGTTTGATTGTTAAATTGAGTCGTTTTACACTGAACTGTCAAAAACAGTCACATAAATATCATTGCAGGTCAACAACAACTACTGAGAACAAGATGAGAGGAAGTCGCTCTCACCACGAATTTAACTTTTATCTGCTTTTCTCAAACAACCAAGTGCATTCAGCTTTGTGCTCTTATCCCCAGTCATTAAACTTATTTACAGCCTCTGTGCCGCTATGCAGTCTTCAGCAAGACAGAAATAAGCAGCCAGCTTTCCAATGAGAGTTAACAAAGTTGGAATTTCTTTCAACCACTTTGATCAACGACCTTTTTAAGCTGGCGAGACCGAGACAAGCCGAGGGCCGCAGAGGGCCACTAAAAGCATTCATCATATCTTCTAACTCAGCATCCAAAACATCTGTAATGCGGCAAACTTAACTGACTTTCTTTTTGTCATAATTGGGCTCTGTTTTTCCAGTCCATGTGTCTTCTCTTTTGTTTGATTGGAAATCAATCCACTTTTACAGTTTGTGCATTTCTTGCTAATTAGTCTTGCATGTGATGCTGCAACTGCCAAACCGCATTTAAAAAATCTTTATTACATACTGTTCATGGGCTTCCTAGATTTTTTTGGGAAGATTAGAAACAAAAAACAGATTGGACTGTTTATCTTCCATTGATAATAGTCTGTCTGATTAGGTTTAATGCTGCCAGGATCAAATTGATTTCAAATTCAGCAAATACAGGCATTTTAAAAAAATCCATTTTTTCGTATCAGTGAAACTGGGTGCTCTTGTTTCTGGAGTTCTGCTCTCCTTGAGTCGTCTTCTAGACAACTTGTGTATTTTTCTCTCCCCCCTCCCCCATTCTCTCGTCTCATGCTTCCCTCGGTGGTTATGAAGACCCCTCAACCTGCACTCACTGAATGTGAGTCCTTACAATAACATACAGATTCTCCTGCAGAACTCTGAAACACAAGTGAACAAATCTTCCCCCGTCTGTTTCTACTCTCGCTTCAGCCCCCCTCCCTCTTCTCCCCACTCAGTCCATTAGCCTCCCTGTGTTTTTACACACCCTAAACTCTCTTGGAAGGACAATCTACTCGCATTGCAATGCTCCTGCAACCACGCGCATGAATATGCACTCCAGACGCTTTCCTGCAATCTCCTTTTTATTTACCATTCAATCTCTGCCGTTTATGGGGGCTCTTTATCTCATTTTCACCCTCCTGCAGCACCCCACAGCTGCACACGCTCCCCTGCATGCTTGTGCCTTTTCAAGGTCCTTGTCCACTTATTGTTTATGGCCTAACATGTGCACACACATGCCCAGATACACAAGAACTAACCATTTTCAACTAGGGGTCAACATATTTATGTCCAGCAGAAATATTTACTGCCACTACCGACCGCATGTAACACACACGTCGGGGTAGATTTACACGGCGGTTTGGAAACATCAGGTCACATACGGGGCAATGACCTTCGAGCACCCCGCATTCAGTCTAACACACTACGGAACTTTCAACCAAGTTGAAACCATCCCATGTAGATAATTTAGGATTCGGCCTGTTTTTAACAGCATGAAACTGTGGCAAATCGGACCACATAAACTTTCATGAGCTGGTTTCACACTCTGGCAGAGCAGAAACACCCATTGATCGTTTTTTTTTTGTGTTTTAGGGACATGACACACACACACAGGTACGCACACAATTTGCTGAAAGAGATTAATGCGGCCAGGCCAGAGTCAGCCAGTGCATGTGCGGAATTTTTAGTCACACTCTGTCACTGCGGCTGGTTCACATGGGAAATGTCCACCGGTGCCTCACTGTGGCTGTGTGTTTGCGACTGTGTAGAAACTTGATGAGTCCCTTGGTCTTGATTTCCCCAGATGAGTAACTGGGAAATTTCCAGCTGTTTGGGACAGCTGTGCGAGTACAAAAGGGCCATAAAAACTCAACCAAAGGAGGATAGGAATGAATCAAAGAAGGAGGGGAGTGAAAGACAAAAAGATTGTGGAGTTGACACAGATTAGAGTCGCAAGGAAATCTGAGAGCTCTGTGTGCGGCAGGCCTGTGTGTGTGTGTTGAAGCCAGCTGTGGGCTTTTAACTTATCAAGACTGTCTGACTCGGGCTTCCCACGGGTTGTAATACCTAATAAAGCCGAATGTTTTGTTAAAAGTACCATTGAAAATGCAGAAATACCTTCACATTCTGAATTTTAACAAATACTAAACCGAAATAGATACAAGTCTAATCAGCCATGTAATGACAACTAAAAATGTTTCCTGCTCCATAAATGTTTGAGAAGTCTGATGGTCTCAGATATGTTTTGCAGTGTAACTGTGTGAACAAACACGCAGCAGTAAATTAATAAAGAATGTGCTTGTGTAAAGTGGACATAGAGCCTCAAGATGCAATCATCAAAGCATGTTTAAAGCACTTAAACATGCTTTAAGTGCTTTAAACCTTTTGCGGAACTCATTGTTCACTTAAAACTTACTTCATCCCTAAATGTAAGCCTTTTATTTCCAGAGAGGGGGATTTTTGGGTACTCCTGTAAAATTATACGGATGGTTGTATCATGGTTTGGACTGTTATGCAGCATCTTGACCAAGATGCTTCTGTCCCACATGTAGCTTCATGTGCATTGTGGGTCCTGCATTCTTCTGTTTAGTGCGTGTGGGGGGAAGCAGCAGGTTAACAGGGACATCTTTTTTTGCAGATAAAGCACAACTGATATGTGAAAAGGGCTATTGATAAAGGGTTGGATTCTGACCTGAAAGCCACACACATTTATTTCGAGAAAGAATGGTTCAATCTCCAAGTCAAAGTCCTGACCCTAAATCAATGGTAATGACATGGAAGAATCTTAAGTAAGCAAATCATGTTAGGAAAGCCCCGAATAAGCCAGAGTTGAAGCTTTTCTTTGCAGAGGAATGAGGAAAGTTCTTCCAAGCTGATATGAAGGATTTAACATTTACTAAATGTGTTTAGCAGAATTTTAAAAAGAAAAACTAATATAGTTTTTTATTCATTTCCTTTTTCCTGAACTTCTTATATTTCACTCTTACAGGCCAGGTGCCTAAATAATTGCAGTGATTTTCTTCTTTCTGGAAGAAATCACTTAAAACGTATAAATTCTCGTAAATTAAAACGTTAGTCACCTCGGATATCTTTAGATTCATCTTTCATCCTGCTTGCACTTGGAATTTGACAGGAAAATAAACATTTCAATTCCTTATTCATACCTACATCAATAAGGAAAACCCTCAAATAAATGCAGTGCACATGTTCTGCTCAGCAGTGATTTAGACAGGGGCCCAGAGAGCCTTTTCTTTTCTTTACAAAAACAGACCTACTTATTGAACGTTTTAACGCAGAAATTTCGAAAATGACAAGCAACTTCTGACAGTAAAAAGGCTTATGAATCATTTATTTTACCATCTGCAATGCAGCTGCAGCTATGTGCATTCGCTTAAGTGGCCATGTCTAAAAGGACAAACCTACCTAATTTTCTCAGATAGTTGGGATTATCTGAGATTGTAGTCCAATGCAGCCTGTATAAGTTTAATATCATAGGATCGCCTCCTGGGAGGCACAATTACTCAACTTGACTTCTGTTCTGGGTTTGTTGTAGCCCTCAGTTCACGGAGGGGTAAACAAACTACTGGGGATGAAGATTTTATGGATGTAACTGGAGGTTTTAATTGGCTTGTTAATTCAGGTGTAGTGGTGTTTAAAAGACCATTTTAAAAAATATCTTCTGGTGTTAAAGCAGTGTAAGCCTTCCAGCCTTAATGCCTCCCGCTGTTTGGAGGACTTTGCTTTAAAAGAATCCATCTGATAAATTTAGGAGAGGAATAACTCTTTTGTGGATCTGTTAGACGCTGTCCTGAGCCAAAATATTTTCAGGAGCACTCGCTTGATAATTCACTGCACTCTGTATGCTTTTTTTCTCTCTGAAATTTGGCGAGGTGCAATAGAAGTGCTCTCAGTTAGTAGTAAATGTGCTAAACTTATATATGTATAAGCTAAAGAGTGTGTTTGTGGACAGCTGTCCAGCCCCGTGGGTTATTCTGAGTGCTGCAGAGTCCTGTCAGCCTGGTATTTAAGCAGTCATTTATGTGCAGGTATCCTGAAACGTTTGTATTTCTGCCTCTATGGCTCCGTGAGGACTCCTCTCGATCGAGCATTGGCTGCTCACGCACACACGCCTGCACACGTGCTCACACAGCCGCTCACACTTCGTGGTCATGCACTGAAAGTCGCAGCGGATTTATGTGAGCAGCCGTTTCCAAAAAATCTATCATTTCCATATGGTTGTAAAACTCTCGCTGCTGCCCAGAGCAGCGTGGAGAATACGTGTGTGTGAGTTTGGGCTTCAAGGCCCGATGTGGTTGCCTTTACCCTCCTCGTCTCAAGCTGATTTTCCCCATCATTATCAGCTGTTTTTCCTCGCCCTCCGCTCGTTGCACTCCACCCTGCCTTCTCCAGGGATTTGAAGAGAAAGACATTTGTTTTTAGTAGCTCTTCACATCGGAATAATGCGTGGCACTGAAACGTAGTCCTTTTCTCTCCGTGACTTACTGTTTTTGTCCTCCAGGTGTGCGGGGGTGGAGCGTTGGAGCCCAGAGCGGAGCAGTGCGCGGCCTTTAACACCCAGGAGTTCATGGGTCGCGTCTATAACTGGGAGCCTTTCACTGAAGGTGAGGACTGAGTTAACATGCTGGCGGCAGTCGAGAGTTTGGCTGCAGCACAGTTCAGCGTGCTAATGCATTTAAAGGGACAATAAAATGGCACGGCAGCGAGGGGGATGAAAACAGAATCAGAGTGGGTTTGAGTCAGTTCAATTTTCCTGCGGTATGAGCGTGTGTTGGCAGGCCTCCATTACTTGCCCAACCCTCCGCTGGAGCAGGGCTTCATCTATATGCAGCACTGAGGCTTCAGAAGAATAGGGAATAGCAGTAACTCGGTCTGCTTTTATTCTTTTTTTCCCCCCCGGTTTGTCCAACGTCTCCCTCTCTGCCCTCCTCTCCTGCCAAGCTTCTACTCCCAGCTCTGACTAAGCAACCAGATTCCTTCTGAGTGAGATAAAGAAGAGGGGAGAAAAAGAAAGAAGGAGGGAGGTGAGAGGTGATGGGATGCAAGTGTTTTGTCACATGACTGATAGAAGCAGACCGAGTTACTGCGATTCCCTATTCCTCTGAAGCCTCAGTG